GACATTTCCCCTTTTTCGAAGCATTCATTTGCACACCTGACAAAACTTTCGCTTATTAAAGGCCAAAATTTTCTATAGAACTCACCTGGAATGCCATCATTTCCAGGGGATCTATTACTCTGAAAGCTATCCAAGAGTTCACAACATTCTTCTGGAGAAATCAGTCCTTCACAGGAATTTTTTTCCTCCTCTGAAAGTTGGGGAATATTCAGATCGTTCAAAAATGAAGATATTTTCTCTCCTATATTAGGACTATTAATGCTGCTTTTGTACAATTCTCTGTAAAAACGCTCTTGTTCTTTTAGTATACAGTGCGGGTCCGTTGTAATTTTACCATTGATGCACAGTTTTCTTATATGCTTTTTAACGTGGTTCCTTTTTTCTAAGTTTAAAAAATATTTTGTGCTTTTCTCTCCATGTTCATGCCATCTAGCACGTGCTCGTATTATTACGCCTTTGGTTTTTTCTTCGTAAAACGACTCCAACTTCTCCTGAGCTACGTTATAATAGGTTTTGTTGTGGTCATTTGGATTATTTTCAAGTTTACTCTTTGCTTTAGTTAATTCTTCCTGAAGGTCAAGTTCCTTTTTCCCCCTTTCTTTTGCCTTTCTTTTAGAGCATTGAATAGCATGAGCTCTTATGTTATATTTAATCCAATCCCATATCATTCGATTATCTGTAAATTCTTTCTGTCCTTCCGCTATCCAAAGTGGAATCATCCTGGCTATATCTTCTTCGTAGTCTTCATCATCTAACAGTGAGCAGTTCATTTTCCAGTTTCCTGGCCCTTTCAATTCGTTCTCTAACTTTCCGAGTTCTAAAGAAATTGCATCATGATCTGTTCGTACAGCCGGGATTATTTCGGTCGATTCAACAAAATCGCTCAGATTGTTAGATATCAACCAGTAATCTAGACGACAAAACACTGAGGGAGATTTTTGACTCCACGTAAAACTTTTTGCGTCTGGATTTTTGGATCTCCAGATATCCACTAAATCTAATTTACTTTTGAAATCTTCGACACAAGAGATAACTGACTTCCTTTTGTACTTGCTCCGCCTTTTTTGTCGAGTAATGGATCGAGTGGACAATTTAGATCTCCTCCTAGTATGATGTTATCCACAGAATCCAGATTTTCATTTTGCAAAATTGAAAGTAGGTTGTTGAAAAAATTCACTTGGTCTTTATCTTTGTTCGGCGCATATTAAACATTAATCAGCACATAGTCTTTATCTTGGATGCAAGCTTTTAAAATAATGTATCGCCCCTCGGGGTGTACAATTTTATGATTAATGCTGCAATCAATACCATTTTTAAACAAGATCGCAACACCTCGCGAATTAGAACTACCGTGACAAGATATCATCTCAGCACCCCATTCATTTCTCCGTTGATTCTCTGTTGCAGCGATCGAGTGCGTCTCTTGTAAAAAAACAAGGTCTGCTTTACGTTTACGACACCAGAGAAAGATGGTTCTTCTTTTGAGGAAATTACTTAAGCCCTTCACATTAAGCGATATTAGTTAAAAAGCACTGAACAACTAATGTCACTGTATACAAATTGTGGGACTGCATAGCTGAAAACAAGAGAGCCGAACGTGTAATTGAACAAACGAAGGCGTGAATATAGACATACTTTGAAAGCAAGTAAAGGATACTGATTGTGCATAGATAAAATTAATAAATAAACACAGTAAGCGAAAATTAGAATAGAAAAACACTCGAAAAAATCTCAAATACAACACTAAAAGATAAGAAAAAGAAAATAATACAGGGACACACGTTAACCACCAAAACACTAGCTGAAACATACTCCCTTGAGATACTCAAATGAAGTATCTTAAGAAGGTACCAACCTTTCGACAATTTTAAATATTGTGTTTTTCAGAATCTAATTAGCTTCAATCTGACTTAAAGAAGTGTTGTTGTATTGCACCAGTAGTACCGTAAATTAGTTGAACAGATCTGTTCGTTCTTTGATCTGCTTAAAATCCTCGGGGATATTTGTTACATCATAGTTTAGTTCTCCTATGTACAGATATCTACCAACCACTTTGGCCTCTGAACCTTGCTCCTTTACCTTGAACATCGCCTTTATTAGCTTCCTTCGTTCATTTTGTATAGCTTTTGCATAATCGGCGGTTATGTAAGCGTCCTTCAACCTTGTGCTCTCTTTGATTCCCTTCTTCCTGGCAAAAACCTGATCTCTGTCTTCTCGGCAAACGAAGCGAGCAATGATCGGTCTATGTTTATTTTCTTTTCGCTTGCCAATTCGATGCACTGCGTGAAATCGAATTTGTGCAGTGTCCATTTGCAACTCCTTTTGCAAAATGCTGAGAATAACTTGTTTCGGCGAGTGGTTAACACCTTCTTCTTCTGATTCTGGGATATCGTGAAATGATAGATTCTCGCGCCGAGTATAATCTTCCAGCTCTATAACTTTGTCTCTTTCCTCCTTTAGCTCAGCTTTGGTTTTTGTAAGAAGCGCTCGCAGTTCTTGCATCTCGTCCTCCTGTACCGTTTTAGAGTCTTTCAGAGCTTTGGTTGCCTCTTTCATATCTTCAATGGTCGCCCATATTTCATCTACACTTTTTTCCACGCCCTTAATATTGCTCTTCAACATATCAATTTCTTCCTTCATTTCCTGTCTCAGGCCACATAATTCTTCGTGCAGCTTCGCAAAGTTGCTTTTCATATTCGCCGTTAAGTTTTGAATTAAGTGCCTGCGTGAATTTGTTTCCTCTTCTTCTTCGTTCATCCTCGCTTTTTTTAATTCGGTGTTGGATGAAACAGAACTAGAGCTGGAGCCTCTTTCTCCCCTTTTGGATTTAGTCATAATTCTGATTCAAATCGGAAGTGTTGTTCCTCATTTTAGAGTGAAGAAATGTTCTTTATAAAACTCATAGAAGTTGATAATTATCCAGTAATTAAGTTTGTACCTTTGGATCCGTAACAACGAAGTCAGGAACTAGACTGGGATGACCGCTCAGCCATGATGGAACCTTGAAGGAACCCTACACAAAATCGCTCATCATTTTTATAATAATTAATTGATTACAGCTCGTCTCTTACTATTGGACGACAAAGGCCCAAGGTATAGTAAGCGACGACCGATTAGACCCTGTATACGACCGATATGGATACCTTCAAAAAACAAAAGAGGACTAGACGTGGAAAAGTTAAGTTGAACGATAACCCGACAAGTTATCATTGCTCAAGGATACCATAGGGTTAACCTGTGTGGAGAACATAAAGTGGGAATGGGTAAGGAGAAGGGGAGGGGATTATAGAGGGGATTAAGGAGACTCCTGCAATGAGGAACTCTGTATTGCTAAACAGATAAGATAAGGACAAGAGGAGAGGGGAGGATAGGAGAGGGGAGAGGAGAGAGCAGTGATCTGCTGCGCTTGCTACGCAGGCTACACTTGCATAAAGCTTGTAGTACATGCACTGAACTGAAGCGTTTATGGTACATTTAACAGATATCTACCTTAAAACTCTTTGTCGTCCGCGTTGGTCCATATGGGCCCATGCATATTATTCTCCCTTAACCCACTAGGCTTTCCATTCTAGCTATTAAGATGGTAACTGGCAACATCAGCGAGGATAGAGCTTTCTACAGGTACATCATTTAGCAAATTTTGACCAATCTCAAAGCACATGAGAGCTCAAGTAGATTAAGGCTTGGTTCTTTCCAGATTCCTCAAAATTTTGAACGGGGCTGGTCTAATGTAAAGTTTTTTTTTTTTTAAGATATCCCAGGTCTAATAAATTAAGACTAATCATAACTAAGAAATCTTCGAAGTTCATTTGAAAAACTGTTTATAACTGCATCACGTGACCAGCCACGCCCTTTTTTATCTAGAAATCCTTTAGTTCGAAATGCCCACTATGTAGAAAGCAAACCGTTTTCCTTTTGTAAATGTAGGTCCAAACAGTGGCTACCAATTGTCTTGTTGTAAAAAAGATTGGAATGAGACGAAAGTGTCCGCATTAAGGGGGTTGAATTAAGAGAAAATGTAAGGGCTTTTTTTCCCAGGGACAAAAAATGAGGTGTCTGTATTAATTAAGCGGTTGTCCTCAGTAAAAGTACCCAGCGATTTGACAAAAATCCACTTTTCATCATAAAACAACCAAATCTGGCCATTTACTGTAAAATCAGGTGAAAAATTTGGCAAAAGATGATTTTTTGGTTTTTTGATTAAAGAGGGGTTCGACTGTACTGTTGCCTTGTCCTACAAACTGCTCAGTAGACCTTTACGCGGCTCGGATGATCAATACACATAATGATCGTCCATTCTCCGAGACGAGACGTAAAAATAGTGTCCTCAATTAGTACAGACTTGTCAAATACATTATTTTACACTTGAATGAAGTAAACTGGTGCGTTTAACGTCAACACTTGACGGTCTTATTGACAACGATAAATTTGAAGAAAAAAAAACATTCTTCATATTTGATTATCCTTTAATGCATTTTCAACAAAACGTTATACAATTCGGTAAATGTATATGTTATAATTTAACGGACCTAAAGATCCTGATGAGAAAAAAAAATGGTACTTGAGCTGAGGGCACGGGAAAAATACTTTCAAACATACCCTAACTAAAAACTAGCAACTGCTGGAAAGAAAATGAAAAGGTATACAACATACAATTTTGATACCAAAAAATTGAACAACCTTATTAAACTACAATCGGCAATTAAATGAGATTACAATAGATTTTAAAAGGATTACAAAATATATTTACAAGTTGAATGTCATTTTTCAGCTATTATTACAGTTATTATTACAGCCACGATTATATAATTTATTGTTACATTCACAGAAAGTACAAACTACGCGTGAGAACAACCAAATGCCTCCCCCTCCCCCGCAACTAAAAGCGGTCAACAGTGACAAATACCTCATCAGATGGTGTTGTTCGAAAAATTACGGTTTCGTATTCTAGATTTGAGCAATTTGAACCGTACAACAATAATACCACTGGTAAGATCATATTATAACTGGTCAAAAACCTGGATTCGGTTGTTGTTCATATCACACACAACTATCCTTCCATCACTAAGATTTGCGGCAGACACTGGACACTTAAACTCTCCTCTCTCACTACCTTCACTTCCAAACTTTGAAAAAACCTTTCCACTCAGTTCAAATACCTGAACTCTGTGATTTCCTGCATCACAGACCATTAACAATCCTTCTTTGTTCACCGACAAGCAAAAGGGCTCATTGAACTCCCCATCCTTGTTTCCCTGTTTTCCAAATTTAAAACGAAAGTTCCCCTCCAGATTAAACATTTTAACGAAATGATCACCAACGTCTGAGACTATGAAATATTGACCGTGTTGGATACAGTGAAAGGGACTGACCAAAGAACCTGCTCCACCAAATTTACGTAAATACTCGCCACGAGAAGAGAATATCTTGATTAATTTGTTACCTCTATCAGCAACAATAATATCACCGTTGCAGTTTATTGATAAGCCTAGAGGGTATTTAAGCTTATTATTACCATTTCCTTGTTCACGAAACTTGCTAAGAAAGTTACCGTTCCGATCAAATACTTGCACCCTGTGGTTCAAACAGTCTGCCACTACAATGTTGCCAAGTCTATCAAAAGCGATCCCTTCAGGGCACTGAAACTCACCATTATTCAGACCCTTCCTACCAAACGATCTTAAGTGGGTACCGTCGCTACTAAACACTGAAACCCTGTGGTTCCAGAACTCAGTCACAGCAATTTCATCCTTATCATTCACTGCCATCCCCCAAGGCCCCTTAAGCATTCCAACAGACTCACCTTTTTGTCCAAATGACAGCACAGATCTGAAGCGCCTGGTTTGTACCTGAGTCTCAAGAGGATTGTCACGATTATTTTCCCTTTTATTCCCAGCAATTACTTCACTAGTACTTTCTTTACCTTTAGCTCCCGATTGTTGCGCTTTAGTTTCGCTGAAAACAAATTCTACATTACCTATCCCCTCGCTCATGCTCAGAAGGTTAATCAGTTTTTCACTTTTGGTGAAACTAAATCGAGGAATACATTCAGGGTCACGGTTTTCTCGAGTACTTTGTTCCTGTAGAATTGAATCAAATGTTTCACTGAATCCAAGAATTTCAGTACTAAAGCTTCGTTTTAACAGAGTTTCAATTTGTTCAATTGCTAATTCAATTAATTTCACTTGTTTGTCCACTTCGTCTTTTTTCTGTGAGAGAGATTCGAGTGATTTTTTCGCTTGATTATCAATCACATCAAAAACATCTTGTTTTCTCGTTTTGATGATTGCAATAACTTGGTCTACAAAAGACTGCACTTGGCTTTTTACCTCGGCTACTTTCAATTGAAATGCGATGCTTTTTTTGGTTAAACTGTTCTGCTTCCTTTTGTTTTTCCAGTACTTTGTCTTTCAAAGATTTTGTCATGGAGCTGATCTGTGTCTTGCGTGCGTCGGTGGCTTCTTGCAAGGGCATGATCTTACCATGACCTTCATGAAGTGTTACAGCACAAGTGTTGCAAATGGCGACTTTACAGCCCTTGCAAAAGAGCTCCAACTCTTTGTTTTCATGGTGTTTCTTCTGACAAAATGCTGGTCGCTCTAATACAGCCTTGATGTCTTGATCCTGAAAATCTTTCAGCGCTAGAGTTCTGTGGTCTTTATTTTCTCGAATTATGTTGTGTCCTACAATACATTCTTCACACCAGAAGGAACAACACTGGAAGCAATATAAGGTCTGGGCGCTCCGTTTTTCGCAGTTTCTGCATTTGACGTTGACTGTACTGCACTCTTTGATCGCCAAGACATCTAGCAAACTGTTTATTCGAAAATTGGTTGGAAGTTCGCTGGGATTTCCACTTCCAGAAATCTGAAACTGTCTCCTGCACTCGGGGCATGTAATTTTACCACGGACGCCGCTCGTTCGTTGAATTCTGTTCAGGCAATGAAGACAGAAACTGTGCAAACAAGGCAACTGCTTTGGATCAGTGAATGGACACATGCACACAGAACAGGATAGTTCATCATGAAGATTGTCCAGCAAGGTCTTTATATCCATGGAAAAGGTCGAAAACAAGGTTACTTTTTAAAACATTTTCCTAGTTGTTGATGATCAAGGGAATGGCTTTGCGAATGAACAATGAAGTCTTGTCTTGTGACCCAGACGAAACTCTGTATTATTAACAAAATGGCCTTAGGGGTTCACTCTAAAGCAAGTAACCTCGCGGTGAAGGGAGAACTAGCACGTTTTCCTCTTCATCTTATTATTTACACTAGAATTTTTAAGTACTTCTTAAGGTTACTTACCCTACAAAATAACCAAATTTTAAGTAGCGCACTATAGAGATAAACATTCATGTAAATAATATAGGTAAGCATATTCATGGTTTACTACTGTAAAGCACCAATTACACTCTACTAAATTAACTGATTATAGTCCAAATCCGCAACATCTTGACCACAGGACGGAGAATTCCTCACCTGGTTAGAATGTTCAAAAGAAATTTGTTAATTAAAAACAATACCAGGTATATTGGTCGAAAAATTTGAACAAGTCTGTATAGTGAACTGAAAAACGAAGTCAGATTTGAATCTTATCTTGATTTAATAAAGAACGTTAAGACAAGAGTGGCAGTAACCAAAATGCGGATTTCTTGCCACTTGGTACCCATTGAATCTGGGCGCTACAAGAAGATACCCAGTGTTGAGAGGCTTTGCCCCTTTGTAATAGATCCGAAATTGATGATGAATTCCACTACAGTGAAGCCTGTATTAAGCGGACACGCTCGGGGAAAACTGTAGTGGCCGCTTAATACAGGTTTCAATAGATAACGCCATATGAGGAGTCAAATGCCATTCAAATGAACAGTGGAAACGTTTAGCGGAATACTCACAGAGAGTAGACGATAAACGTTTGCATGAATTTCTTTATAAAAGTGGACCAATTGATCATAGTACTTTAAACATAGATTGCAACTCAAATTTGAAGAAATCAGATGAGTGAAAAAACCCGGGGGGGTACTGCCATATACGGGCTATATAGATATGCGCCGCTCTGAAAGGTATGGTTTTCAAGCAGTTTACTCTAGGATAGAGTACAGAAATCAGAGCGTTTGGGTCTAGAATAGGGTATCATTTTTCAGGAAACTGATCCAAAAACAGCTACTCTGGGATAGGGGGGATTTGGGGAGTTTACTCTAGTATAGGGTAGCAAAATTCAGCTGAACTAGCTCTGGTATAGGTTAAGGGTTTCAGGGTCCCAGCGGCACATCCCCACCCAGCAATTCCTAACGTACCACCCCCCCCCCCCCGGGTGGAAAACGCTCTATACAAACAAAAGGAAATAGAAAACAATACTGTACTGGGAAACTAATCAAATAAGTTCGACAAGTCACGTTTTTTAATGTAAAAATCGAAAAAATTGTGGGTGGCAATTCGAGGCAATCTTTAGCATTTCCGGTGTCTGGTATGTTGGATGGTGGAATTTAATTAAAAGTGTCCGTTTAATACAGGTTAGCAATAATAGAAATCACCATTTCGATCAGGTATTTTTTAGGTGTCCACGTCCGTTTAATACGGTGTCACTGCATTTGTTGAAATGTACTCACTCATCACTTTCTCATATAAGGGGTACCTTCTTGGAGATCCTATACTCGATGAATGAATGAATGAAGCTTTATTTAATCTCGGGTTGATGATGTTGGTTAGACCTCTAGCAAAGATATGCTAATAAGCCGAGAAAAAAAACAAATAAATAAAATATAATAGAGAAAGAAAGGGAAATCCAAAAACTTATATACAGTATAAAACCTAAAATTACGTAAGATAGCTATTTACAATAAAAAGCTTAATTACATAATAGAACATATTAGATATTATTGAGTATTAGCTAGAACCTTAGCTGGGTGACTGCTTTTTTAAAAGCTGACAATGTACTTTAGGGTTTCCTTCTGAACTATCAGTTGTCATAGACCTTTTCATGTTTTTTTTTTTAACTTTTTATATGGCCCAGTTAGCGAACATACGTCGACACTACTGAAAAGAACGCCTTGAAATAAGTAAAATTACCAAATTTGAAAGTGATACGTCTTTAGAGGGCGAAGATGCAGCTCCGAAAAGTTGCGAAAATTTACCGACGTTTGTATGGTGGGGAGGGGGGGGAGCAAGTTTTTACCCCCACCATACAAACTTGTCAAAAGTTGGAAAGAACCGTGAAATTAGGTCTCTTTTTTTACGGACACTTCGGCAAAGTGCTTTCTTTAGAATGAATTTTTTTTTACAAATTTAAATTAGTATTATTACAGTACAAGTCAAGAATTAAGACAGTTTTATTCTCATTTGTTTTTAGGCTATTCGGGTGGGCCTCTTCTTTTATTGACATATTTGGCATGGATTCGGGGACAAGATTTTAAAAGTTTTTTTTTTCTTCGTTTGTTATAAGTAGACAGTTGATACAACAACAACATCTTTATTTCTTACATTAAATATACAAATATCACACCACCTGCAAATAGCAAGGCTAATCGAGGCAGGTGGTGTGTAGACGGCTTAAGATTTATTACGAATAGTTGAAGTGAAAAAGTACCATATTTATAATAAAAAAATAAAAATAAAAAAATAAAAAAATAAAAAATATTGAAAATCTCAAAAGAGACGAGATTCACAAGGCGGTATAAAACTAAGTCAAATTCTTTTTTTCAATCTTTTACAATGTTCGGTGAAAGGAGCAATTATCAAAGATCATATTTTCATTTGGCGAGGTAAAACTAATAAACTTGTATTTCACATATCAATTAACCAAAAACAAAACAGTCCAAGCTAAGAGTGAACTTAATCTTACATTGAGTTGATAGCCTTATATGTACACCCCAAAAATAGCATAGCCATAATGGCTCTTGATCACAGTAGACTAGGCCTGGAAAACGAATTCTTGGAAAACAAATCAGGCCGAATTTTTTGCGCACGACAAGTTTACTTTACAAAATCTTGCCAACAAGTCTGGGAACGTGTAAACCAACCTTTTATACTTTTTATACATCACATCTGAGGTGAAACGGTACCATGAGGCGCTGTTTTTATCATACAGACCTCGGACAGAATGCAGTATTTCACAACTTTGCAATACAAATTGCACTCATTCAATATTCAGAACGACCGAAGCACGCGTGGGCTTTTAGCGAAACCGTTAACAAAATTTCCAAAATCACCTATACGACTAGCCGGTTCTCACTTTTGACAAGCGCCAAAGTCGACGGTTTAAATTAAGATTAATAGAGTTATACGCTTTTTTCGACATAATCATTGTTATGTTTATTTTTTATCTAATGGTTTTATAGCGATGTGTAATCTTCAAAAGCGTTTGATACGCGTGGCATTTTGACTACTCCTGCAAGCGATGTTCATGAGCGACTGAAAACAAACGGAATAGCGATTAAAATTGCAAAGAGACTACAAACAATCAATAATAAAAGGAAAATAATTCGGTGAAAAATATACAGAGACAACAATTTTCATTTACGAAGACAAGTATTAAAGTGTTTAAAATCCTTGTTTATGTTTTAAGCCGGCTTCCCGGTCTTTGCTTTTTTCAAAGATGAACTCGAGGCAAGAAAATAGCTCAAAGCCTTCTTTTACAGCCAGAATTATAAATAAATATTCTTTGAAACGAGTTTCTTTCTATCTGCAGGGAGAAAATGTCTGAAGGCTTTTCTAAAGTTCTATAAGCTTATAATCAAACCTGATACTCGGTCAGATCATTGTCTCAAATCTTACAAACGTGCATAAACTAAATAGCACCGTAAACTACACTCGACTTCACTAAATTACATATAAAGAACAAACATCAAATAAAATAATTACTCAGGCTTACCATTCGAGATGCACTGAAGACTATCAAGTAAGGCCAGAATCCCTTCAGACTTTTCAACCCTCTTACGCATCAAGCAAGGTGAAAAACGGAAACGATGCCATCCGAAATCGGATTTCCGACTTTGACA